TCTATTTTATTGCATTGTTGTCTGTCAAGATTCAAAAGGATAACAAAGAACGCATCGTCAAAGTCAAACGTTTATGATGCGTTCTATAAACTGGAAATATGTAAAACGTTACGTAACATTATAACATTTTAGGATTCTCTAGTCTCTACCACTGTAAAAGAAAAAAGAATTCATACTTAGCCCTAAATTGGATATGTCGTGGTGGCCTGGTGGTTAAGACACCCGGTTCTCATGCATGAGGGCTCGGGTTCAAAACCTACTAACGGCAAGTACCAATGTGACTTTTACCGAGTGTGTACCGAGTGTGTACCGAGTGTGTACCGAATGTGTACTTTCGTGTGAGAAGAGGCTTTGCTCAGCAGTGGGCACTTACAGCCTGTGAGTGCCCACTGCTGATTATAAAATATTAGATTCCACAAAATATTAACAGGAGCATAAAAGAAATCAGGATTAAAAACGTACGACCGATAGGTATAGGATGTTTACTTGAATCTAGATTCTAGAATATTAATTTCGTACATTTTGAATCATCATCACCAACTGCCTGTGACAGTTCAATGCTGGACTGTGCAGCTCCCTTATTTAAGAAGATATGCCGTAATCTCTTCGATTAGCTTAGCTTAGGATTAGGAAAATATTTCATTAGCAGTGGGACAGTTACACAATGAAGATGATGATGATAATGATCTATAAATGGATTCACTTGATTCGGTTGAAACGTATTTTAATGTACTTACGTATAAATAAGTTAATGCTGCCGAATTACATTTAAAGACGTTCACACACACTCCCCTTAATCCTGTGGTGATGCACGGAGCTCCTGGAACATTTGTAATTTAAATATAAGTTTCTCAGTTTGATCTGTGTGTATGTTTGTCCACGATTATCTTTTCAGAATAGTGTTTTACTAATAACCCGCAGGATCAGGTTATAGCACCAGTAAGGGCTCGTACACAAAACTGCGAGCTGCGAGCAAAAATGAGCGAGCTCCCTCTACGCATCGCAAGAATTTGCGAATTGATTTGCGTAAACGTAAACGTCTTTATTCAACTGAAAATATTTTTCTAACCCTCCAGCTTTTGTAACAAATTTAATGAGCCCCCGAGGGTATATAGAGGTAGTTTCGACAGCCCTGATCTACATAATAATATAATAATGAAACTAACATAAAACCACACGAAGAACATAACTCGACAATTTGTTAGTAAAACTATAATTTTAAACGTTATATATAACATACAATCTATTTATTTAATGTTTTAAATATTTTTCAGATTTAAAAAAAAAAAAATTTTTAATTCTATAGACATGAATAAAATTAATATTAACCATTAATGTTTTAAATGCATCACTTACCTTCATCAAGCCCAAGTTCACAGTTGACACAGAATAAAAAATTAAATAAAAATAATAAAAAAATATTTGCAGCCGCCATCTTTTTCCCGCGTTCGGCGGCCAGCGACGAACTCCGCTTAGTTGAAGTTGAAACTGACTTAATAACAACGTAAGGTGAATATTTATTAACAAATCGGAACATATAAAATATTATTATAGTTGTGTATGTATTTATTGTGTTTTCATTCGTAAAAAACGTATCAAGAAGTTCATTAGCCGCGGATACATAATATATTAACATAATGTACAGTCAGCATCAAAAATCAATGAACAGAATCAAAATATCAAAACACCTGTTCACTATAAAATGCTATAAGTTGTAATCGCAACTAGGAAACAAAGTAGCCTGTACCTACTCAATTCGTAGAAACAATTTCTGGCTACGGGTTTCAATGTCATATTCGGGAACCTACACGGATATACAAATGTATTGATAACATTTTGAGTAATATGTATTTCCTCCGCAATAGGTTACTTTTGTCTCTCAGACCACAACACTGCTCAAACAATTGATTTTCTGATCAAACCGCAAGACAATATGGCTGGGTACTACTTTACAATAACATATGACCTTGGAAAAAGTAACTTAACTAAGTTTATTGTTTGCATAAGTAACATTACCTTTTCGAAAATCTATCATATGACGGATACAGGCGAAGTTTTAGATGCACTTCACAGCGAGTTGACATTGTTTTATTTATAAGCTTTGTTTCCTTTCCCATAGATTAAAAAACAAAATAGTTTCAGACGTGGCAAATGTGGGTTACTACATATCTAAAGATTTAAAAATTAGTAGTAAAAATAAACCAATCTTGCGATATAACTATTACTTAAATTACTGCTGTTTAGTGACTGTTGATACAATTATGTTCAGCGACATTTGGATTGATGGAGTACAGCGTCTTTAGGAATACTAGTGCACAGATACTTCTGAAATAGTCAGGCTATTTTGTTTCCTCATTGCGACTGCAACTTATGACATTTTATTGTGAACAGGTTTTGTTATGTTGATTCTGTTCATCGACTTTTGGTACTGACTGTACCTAAACAATATTTTATAAAAAAACAGATTTGGCTCGAAAATGGGCGGACCTTAGGGTGCCCGGTGATATTTATCTTCTAATGTGATTCATATCATTGAATTCAGGTTTTTCGAGATTGACCCTTCGCTTATGGGCAATTTATTTGTTAAGAAACTCATATTTTTCTCAAAATTGTCAAAAAGATACAATAATAAAGAATTTAGCAGCTAAACTCGTTTTGGTATTAAGTTTCTACATACCTACCGCAAGTTTTTTGGATACATATACCTTACGTATATTATACATCTGGAGCCGCGGAAGACTTAACGGGTTGCCGGGGCTCCGGCTCGAAGAGCAGGATTAAGAATGGGGTGGTGGTTAGTCAGCAAGAGTCTGAAACTTCCCCCTAGCATCACCCAAGCTGTGAGAAGTCATTTGATGATTTTCCCCCTTATAAAAGAGGTACATCCTATTACCCAAATAATTTGGTCGTCGATAAGGTTGTTAAAAACGATAGAAGTTGGTAGGTAGGTACCTAGTTAACTAGGAATTTTGCACATTCAATATTTTTACGTACCTACTTTGAATTTACATTCATAATATCTTATGAGTGTTTTTGTTTACTTGCATATTATGCACATAAAATATGTATTTCTATTAGGTACTAGCTGTTGTCCGCGACTTCGTCCGCATCGGATATATTTTAGAACATCACTTTAGTAGTAGTTAGTAGTTTTGGTGTAGGGCATTATTAGATAAAACTTACTTCATTGATATGTATACAGGGTGACCTGTAACTTTACGTATTCCTCGGGAAGTGATAAAACAACTAATTTTCTACAAAATCAGTCCTGAGGTCTCTGGTCCGAAAATGGCTAGTTTCTGAGATATTGAACATTTTCGGTTTTTTAAAACATTAAATTATTTATAAATTTCTCAAAAATGAATTAATATCTTGATAATAAGTAAAGTGTAAGAGCAAACACACGACTTCAAAAACATCATTATTTACAAAGTTTTGTTCAAAGTGACCTTCCCTATGATGAATACATCCCGCACACGCTTCCTTATCTCTGTGGCGATCACTCTTAAAAGTGTATAAGCGTCTTATATCTTTCAAATTTTTAAGTTATTGTTCTGGGACCAACCTCTTAAGTTATTTGGATGTAATGAAAACACTCGGAAATGATGGAATTAAATTTTATGGTTACCAGAGAAAGTCTTATCACACTGCTATTAGTAGGTGGCAATGCGAATCTCGTATCAGTAGAATAGCTCATTAAATCTGAGGAAGTGTCAAATTGACAATATGTATTCTACATTTTTAAGTGAATGCATGTCTTTTTTTTTTTAAGGGGGGAAAATCATCGAATGACTGCTCCCGCCTGGGTGAGGCGGAAGGGAGTGTCAGACTCTTACTGACTAAAAACCACCCCGTTCCTTCTCCTGCACGTCGAGCCGGAGCCCCGGTTACCCGTTAGGTTCTCCGCGACAAGTGAATGCATGTCTAGTGCTATGGCAGTGGACACTCATCCTGTTCTAAAGCGTCAGAGAGATGCATCAGTATTAAAGTCATATAAGTCAGTCCATCTTCCTTGGTAGTCTTATAACAGATGCATTATCAACAATCTTAACACGTTGAACGACATGGGGATCACCGGTGACCGGCGTTAGCGAAGGATTTACCTTCAACAGTTTTTTATTGGCAGTCAAAGTCTTAATATTGCATGCTATTGCATGACCCTATTAGCTCTGTATACCACTATGTGTGATTCATGATCATAATATAGATTTACTGAACATTGGGAAGTTAGGTACTTATTAAAAAAACACTGATAATTCTATAGAAAACTTAAAATCTATTCAAAGACAATATTTGTAGATATTCACAACAGACTGAAATTAAACACAACGTTATAGTTCATAACGTACATAGTAGGTGTGCCACTAGTTATTCATAATCAATCAAAAGCTTTAAAACATTTCAATATGATAATATTGTATAAGAATTTTATTTATTTTTCCATCATAATACACAGTGATGTAGACCTTAATACTAATCTTATAATATTGACATAAGCTTGTGAGGGACTGGTTCTACATAGGGTTTTGCGTAGTTTAACTGACAATGCTGTGCTGGAAGTCAGGAACCCAAACTGGGATAACCTGTGCTATCTATAAGCCTGGGCTCCTCTTTGTTTTTAATAATATTTTTAATTAAATCGTTTTTAATACTAGAAGTATTTTGGTTTGATCAAAATGATTGAAAACCATAAGTAGTTATTATATCTTATAATGGTTTAGTGGCTTACATCTTGGGAAATTAACTCTAAACGTAATTTGATTATTGCTTAAGTTTTTACTAGTATACCTTATAGTAGGTAGTCGTGAGATATTGATCTCATATGTCTTGATTAAGTGCAACAATGTTCAATAATAATTGAACAGTGTTGTTTGTCCACACAACTCCTTCTTTGAACGTCTACGATTATAATTAGCGAGGATGACGCTACCTACATAATTGAGGATCGAACGTCACAGGTAAGTTAGTCCGATCTATTTAATTCTAGCTTATCAACTATATTAAAAACCATAAGACCAGTTGTTTAACCATTGATTTTCTTTCTGCTTTTTCATCACTGCCTCAGGCCAGACGATGCCTTCGATCCAGGGCAGATAGTATGAGACCCTGGTGTACATGCCAGGCGAACCGAGGATGTCGCAGTCCTCGCCGAATGATGTCACACCAATTACTGTATGATGGCATCCGTCATCACCATATTGGAGAGGTCCTCCGCTATCACCCTGTTGATAAATATTGTAGGTGTAAGTAATGACAAGATCTCCGGAACCAATGTCAAATCCGTACTGCTCTACGGGTGCCAGACGTGGAAGATAACAAAAGACATCTCATGCCAAATCCAGGTTTTCGTTAACCGATGCTTGCGTCACATTCTCGGTATTTATGGGCCCGAGACCATCTTCAACGTAGACCAGATGGAGAAATGCCAGGAAAGCCCCATCGACCACCAAATCATAGGCCGCAAATGGGGATGGATTGGCCACACTCTCCGAAGAGGTCCCAACCACATTGCTAAACAAGCCTCGGACTGGAATCCCCAGAGGAACAGGAAGCGTAGCCGTCCCCGGCAAACCTGGCGGCGGACTGTGGTGGCAGAAGCGGCGGGCATCGGAATGACGTGGAGGGAGGTGAGCGTGAAGCTCAAGACCGATCGAGATGGAGGACCTCTGTGGCCGCCCTCCTCCCCATCTAGGGGACTTAGAAGCTTAAGTCAAAAGTCAAGTCAAGTAATGACAAAAATATTAGCCGAAGTTACTTCCGAATTTTGAATTTCGATATGTCATAGACGCATTTGGAAATTATCATTTAAGATGGAGAAATAGTAAATATTATAAAACTGCCAAATACAGTGAAAACCTTGTACTGCTGCCTATCACACACACTTATCTAAATAAACCTGATGATAATTGATCATGGGTTGAAACAACAAGCCATTAATAAATTAAAATATAAATAATTATTCTTCACTCACTTTACAAGTATTTATGACTTCGATACGGGATCCGTAACACATTTGGCTTGAGTGGTCGTAACCTTTAAGAAAATATCTGTGTGGTTTGTATATTCGGGAGCATTCAGGTCTGTCGAATTCCTCCAGATTCACCTGAAAAAAGGTATTCATATATTTAATTAAAAAATAGTCATAACTTACGACATAGAAGCTTGCCGTAATCTCCACGATTAGCAGAATAGTTGGAGAACACAGTATATCAGAAGCTGTCCCGGTCTCTGTTAATTAAGTAGACCCTAAGACTCTTAAACCCCTAATCGGCCTTACATCCAAGAGTAAAGGTGTACAAAAAATGATAGTGACTAGAAACAGACTAAAAGAGAATAGTCTTTTTATAAAATACTTTAATTTATAAAATAGCGAACTAAAACATGACAACAATTTTCAACGAATTTCTGCTTAATGTCCAAACTTTTGACATTCACATCTATATTCGCGCCTTTTTCGGCTGTGTTGCCAGCCGTCAATATCAACCATAAGGAAATATTATGTGGATGCTAACAGCTCGGCCATCCTAACTAGGGTGTGTCCTCACACCAACTTAAATCAACATACACTCAATACAATTAGGAATTGAAGTAATAAGCCCAATAACATAACACAACTAATTGTAGACATCAACATAGAATAAAATCAGTAATAAACTTTAGCCTAACACAAAGGTACAAGAATCTTAAGTTTGCTAACTAATATTACAAATAGGGATTGAAGTATCAACTTCAGCAACCTGACATAAAATAACTGTAAAACATTGATTTTGAATAAAATCCACAGTACACTTGAGACTAATTGAAGGTTACAAAAAAACATAAATACTAAGAATATTTCAAATAAGATCTGAAGTATCAATGCATACAACATTCTAGGAATAAATTCGAATTTTACACTTGAGTGTAACTTAGGTAACAAAATCTTAAAACTAAAAGTAATACAAATATAAGAACTGAAGTTCAAGTTGAGGAACATAGCAAAGTAACTGTAAAACATTAATTAAGAATAAAATCCACAATACACTGAGTGTAACTCAAGGTTACACAGATCTTAATTTTACTAGGCATAATTAGAATTACAATGGAATTAGAATAAACTAATTATAAGTTCTTAAGTTATTAAAAAAAAAATAAAACATTCTAAAGTTTCCTAATAAATAGGGTTATTAAGTTATTAACCATAATGTACTGTTACCTTAAAATATCATCATAACAAAATCACTCGGCCATCCTAGCCATGGTGTGTCCTCACACCATTTAAACAATATGCACTTGAGCCTTTCTTGAGGATTTCTTATATCTCTCTCATATAACTTAACAAAGAGTAAAACAATCTGAAGGAATCACATAACATCAAAATAGCAAAACAATAAAAACAGTCTTATGTTCTCTAGTCTTTAGAGAATAAACATTCACAATCTGCGTCATCTGTGCCAAAGGATATTAACGCTCGCATCCTATACTGCCATATTGAATCGCAATCTGCGCCATCTATGCTTTCAGCACTGGCGCTCACGAACAATGCCAAATATAGTCTGATGCAATCTGCGTCACCTGTACCGTATACACTGACACTCACAACCCCTACCGATGTGGTCTGTCACGATCTGCGTCATCTGTGTAGGGTAACAATGGCGCTCGGGACCCACATCTGTAGAGTCTGTCATGATCTCTGTCATCTGTGCAAATATCATGAAGCTCACAACCTACACAAGCATGGTCTGTTGCGATCTGCCTCACACACTAAGGCTCGCAACCCACACCAGTGTAGTCTGTCGTGATCTGCTTCGAAACAAGTAAGCACTGACGCTTGTATTTAATACAACATTTACAATAGACTCTTATTTTATAGTAACCTAAATTTTGTCATTATTTTAATCACCTCATTCACTCTGTATCACTTTTGTCGTTACCATCACTGTCGTTTTCGCTGTCCAATGATTTAAAGTTCAGCCACGGATGTATTTTATCAATAGATACTACGTTTTCGTACTTCTTACCTTTCTTTCTTGTAATAGGAGTATCTTCAACCAAAAATCTATCATTGGGTAATATTTTAACAATTTTATAGGGTCCGTGAAATTTAGCCATTAGTTTCTTGGATTTACCAATTCTATCCTTATCAAATGTAGTTCTTTCTAATCTAACTAGATCACCAATGTTGTATTTTGTGGCCAACTTCCTATGTTTGTCGTATCGATGTTTGGCTAATTTTTGTTCCTTTTCGATTTTGTGCATAGATTCATTTCTTAGATTGGTTAATTCATCGCCACTAATGCGATCTGTAGTTGTATTAATTATATCTCCTAATATATTTTCAGACACAGTTTTAACGTTGTAACCAAACAATAATTCTGATGGACTTTTTCCGGTACTTTTGTTAACTGATGTGTTTAATCCTAGCTGAACGTCACTAACATATTCATCCCAGGTGTTATCATTTTTATCATGACATTTTGCGCTAAGAGCGTCCGAAATAGTGCGGTTAAATCTCTCAACCTGTCCGTTCGCTCGCGGAGTTGCTACAGCGTTTAATACGTGTTTAATACGACTATCTTCTACAAAAGTTTTAAATTTGGAACTAGTAAAACAAGTACCCCTGTCTGTGATTAATCGAGTTGGTGCTCCAAAATAGCTAAAAAAATCTTTAAGGACTCGAATGGTAGTAGTAGTCTTTGTATCTCTGACAGGTCTTATACTGATAAATTTTGTAAAAGCATCTATGATTACTAAAATGTACATATTGCCTCTCCGCGAACGAACGAATGGACCTAAGTGATCCACATGCAAGTGTGAAAAGGTATGTCTGGTTTTGGAATTGGATGAAGTAGTCCTTCTTTAGGTCCTGCGGGTGCCTTATGATACGCACATTCTAAACAAGCTTTGACATACTTTTTCGTGAATCTCCGCATTTTGGGGAACCAAAATGAGCCTTTAAGCCTACTTAATGTCTTATCATAACTGAAATGGCCCACGTCGTCGTGGTTCATCTTAAGTAATTGCCACCTAACTGATCTTGGAACTACCCAACGTAACCCACCATCGACTACCCTATAAACATAATTACCTTTTAACTGGTAATTTTTATGAACGTCAACAATGAATGCTGTGTCTTTACCCGCTAAAATTTCCTTGATTCTTTTAATCTCATCGTCATCACTCTGGACAGTAGCGATCCAGTCTTTAGCTTCTACATTGAGTACATCAATAACGTGTGTAGAGTCATAAGTAGCGGGTTCATCTACAGGGGCACGACTGAGTGCATCAACATGTGACATTTTTGCACCTGCTCTGTATTCTATTTCACAGTCATACTCCTGGAACTGCACCCACCACCGACCTATTCTAGGGATGAGGTCCCTCTTTGTCATGGTAGTTCTTAGTGCATTGCAATCCGTTACTATTTTAAACTTTAGTCCTAATAGATAGACACGAAATCTGTTTAATGATGCTATGACAGCTAGCGTCTCTAAATCAAAAGAGTGAAGCTTTTGTTCATCCGCCGATGTTTTGCGGCTGTAATATGCTACAGGATTTAACGTCCCGTCTCTGTTACGTTGCATTAGAATACCCGCAATACCGTGTTTTGACGCATCTGTGTGTAATTCGGTTTCTAATTTGGAATCGTATAATGCGAGTAATGGTCTCTCGACTAATTTCTGTTTCAGGGTTTCAAACGCTGTCATTTGTTCTTCAGACCATCTCCATGTAACCCGTTTCCTTAACAGATCGGTTAACGGACGTGCAATTAGAGAAAAATCCTTTACGAAACGTCGGAAAAAACTGGCTAACCCTATAAAGCGCCTAACGTCATGAACATTGTTTGGAGTCGGGAAGTTTGATACTGCAGTTATTTTACGAGAACCGGGCCTTATACCAGATCCGCTTACCTCAAAGCCTAAGAAATCTATCTGTGTATAAAAGAAGAAACATTTTCTAACTTAAGAGTAAGATTTGCATCACGGAAGATACTCAAAACTTCATCTAGTCTTTTTAAGCCTTCGTTGAAAGTGCGCGCTGGGATTAAAATATCGTCCATGTAAATAATGATGTAATCTATTTTAGCAAGTATTTTGTTCATGGTTCTTTGAAAGACTGACGGCGCATTTGCTAAACCGAAAGGCATTCTCTTAAATTGATATTGGCCATCCGGAGTAACAAATGCCGTTTTATCCTGGGAGCTTTCTCCGACCGCTAATTGATAATAACCTGATGCTAAATCTAAGCTAATGAACAATGAATGACCAGCTAATCGATCTAGTTGATCATCAATCAGTGGTAGGGGAAAATGCTCCTTTTTGGTCTTTCTGTTCAGTGCACGATAGTCAATACAAAGTCTTTTGTCCCAGTCTTCTTCTTAACGAGGAGAACTGGGCTGGCATATGCTGAGTTGGGTTCACATATAATGTCTGCAGCGAGCATTTCCTGTACCATAGATTTCACTAATTCTCTTTCGGGGTAAGATAATCTATATGGTCTGTAAACCACAGGTTTTGTATCAATCAATTCAATTTCCATTTTCTCAATGTTGGTATAACCTAAATCCATCATATTACAAGAAAAACATTGTTTGTACTTTTGTAATGTATTTTTAAGCTGAAATATTTCTTCACTGGATAATTTGTTGTCATAATTTATTGAATTACTAATATTTGCATCATTAAAATCCAACAAGTTTACATTTAGTATAGACTTCGTACATAACGCACGGGTTATTAAAGATCCCTGTCTTAACAATAATTTATGATTTGATAAGTTTTGTATTAATAATGCACCAGCTCCATTCACTAGATCATATTCACCAGGCATCAGATAGTATTCTTCACCAGGACACCCACGTAGAGAACCGTTAACATGTATTGTGCCCGAATAACTAACATCACCATTTACCTTTACCACGCATGACTCACTTGGAGGGATGAAAATGTCATTTAAAAGATTAAGTCTTAATTTTATTGGTAAAGACCGTCCAAAAATCAAATCATCTGTGGTTTTAGTAATAGTAATGCCGGGAGATTCAGTAAAGCTATGGCCAATTAATATGTCATATTTAATAACATTATCCTCAACTATATAACTGTCAACTGATTGTCTAATACCCTGAATCTCGACATTTATAACTGCTTTGCCCAGTGGCAAAACAACATGATTGCCTATACCGTGCATTGTATAGGGTTGGTCTGAGGACCAATGAATATTTAAATTTTCTGCAACACTACGGCGTAACAATGTACATTGACTGCCTAAGTCAATGTACCCACGTAAGGGCTGATCATTTACTTTCAGGGTAATGTAATATTTGTCATTATTTTCGCGGATAGTTGTAGATAATGCCATGACTGACTTTTCCGTGTTTCTTTCTATTTTTGCATCATTAGTAGACGATTTTGAACAACTATTGGCTAAATGTCCGAATCTATTACAATTACTACACTTAATAACTTTCTTTGTGCAATTATAGCTATAATGTCCGGCCTCATTGCAATTGTAACATTTAACAATCTTACTTGCTTCAGTAAATCTTATTGGTTTTGAGTTTAACATATTATTATTTTGTTTATTTGACATGCTAAACAATGTATTATTTCTTTTATCAATATACCTTATCTTTGTATCTGACTCCCGGGATTGCTGTGTTATTGATTGGAAATATTTCAATACTTGTTCCGGTTCCTCACATTTAACTGCTTTAGCACCTAATCTCAAACTACGGTCTTCTTTCCCATATAATAGGCAGTCGACTGCCCTTTTGCCATATATTTCACATCTGTTAAGAAGGTTAAGTTTTTCATAGAAATATAATTCTAATGAATCATTAAATTTAACCTTTTTGGACAACATATCGTTAAGGAGTTCTGCATAGTCATCAGTGGATGGGAAAGATTCCCTTAATTTGTTTTTCCACTCGGTCCACGAAAACGACATTGATGGCAGAGTCTGATACCATGTCCTGGCTACACCACTAAGTTTAGGGAGAGAGTAATGAATAATCTGATCTTCTCCCCATTTATATAACTGAGCACATTCTTCCACCTTGTTAAGCCACATCTCAACAGTTTGGTGTTTTGACATGGGATCAAACTCTGGTATTACATTCCCTAGCATCGGGAATTTATTTCCCTCAGGACGACTATTGGATATTGATTTAATCAATTCAGTTAACAGGGATTGAGTGTCTTTAACATTGGAACGACTCACATTGTTATCTTCGGGCGACACACTCTGGTGGTGGTGGCGACGTGCATGTTCACGGTCACGGTCGTGTGACCTGCGCGGCGTCAGCCCTGCACGACTACACGGCGATCTCGAATACCTCAAACTCGAACGACTCCGATGTCCCGAACTCGAACGACTCCGATGTCCCAAGCTCGAACGACTCCGATGCCTCGAACTCGAACGACTCTGATGTCTCCGACTCGAGCGATGCTTACTCTTTCGTTCTCCGTATTTATTCGAAATACTCGTGTGGCGGCGACTCTTCTTCGTTTTACTTTTATTGTGTCGACGGTAACTATCGCCCCCCATAATAAGCAACTCACGGGACGTAGTAAGTTCATAAGTTGTATCACCTTCGTGTTATGAATAGTCACGCACGCTTACGTCTTTTATTTTCTTCAGGATGCGAATTACGCGATAATAACGAACACATAGATTTATGATCCCACTTCTGAACTAAAAGAGAATAGTCTTTTTATAAAATACTTTAATTTATAAAATAGCGAACTAAAACATGACAACAATTTTCAACGAATTTCTGCTTAATGTCCAAACTTTTGACATTCACATCTATATTCGCGCCTTTTTCGGCTGTGTTGCCAGCCGTCAATATCAACCATAAGGAAATATTATGTGGATGCTAACAAGACGTAGATTGTGGTCTAAATTAAAATATAGGTTACTATTATCCCACGGGACCGCAGACGAAGCCGCTGGCAGAACTGCTGGCATAGTTGCCCAGCCACCGCACGGTTCGTGCGGCGGCTGGGCAACTAGCTGCCGCGCAATGTTTCGCTGGTGCGATTCCCACACGGAGCACCTCTTTGTATGATCCACAAATTGTTTTTGCGAATCTGGGTGTAATGTGTATGTGAACTTGTATGTTTGTAAATGCACCCACGACACAGGAGAAAACCGACCTAGTATACGGCAACGTTTTTTAAAAAAAGAAAAGAAAAAATCAAAAAGAAGCTACTTCTATAATAATATGTCAGATTTCTCTCTATGTACAGTTTCTAGGGTCTGCCTTCATCTACACTTACCACTTGTAGGGTATCTGCCAATGGCTGTCTGTGTCCTAAACGCCCCCAGCCTGAGGCATCAGCAAATTTTATAGGTTCATCTCTTGTATACAGACATGCTGGCAACAAATCCTGTCCAAAAGCTATCCTGAAATTATTGTTTCAATTGTAGTACCGTACCGTTGTCCTACCGTAAAAATAGCTACAAAAAATTATCGGCAATGTTAAGCTATACAAAAATAAAGCACAATAATGGTAGTTTTTTTATTTTCATTATTTATATTTAACGTGACACCTTTGACGAAAAATATAAGGCCCAATACGTAACCTTGTGGAACACCAAGCTTAAAACAACGATAAAGTAGTCGGTTTATAACTTACTCGTTTTCCGTCTCCAAGAGTGCTATGTCATGGTACACCGAAGGTGGTTTGTACTCAGGATGATTAATGATTCTTTTTATTTTGTATATCTTCCAGTTTTCCTTGGGGTCCGTCCGTCTCAAAAGCCCAAGTGCGGCGTACTTAATGCTGCCTCTATAAATATTTTGAGATTTTTTAATAATTTGTTTAGTTATAATATATACGAAAGCGAGTATAGCTATAATCTTACAGCTTGCCAGCAAATGAGCAATGTCCAGCAGTGAGTATAAATCTCTCGCTGATGACAGATCCTCCACACAGCCACTGGGCAGAGTCCACGTCCTCTCCATAACCGAGCAAGGCCTGGAAATAGGTATCCATTTTATTAATCCCTCAAACCTTTGCTTTATGTTGCAATTTTGAAGGATTTTGTCAGTTTTGTTTTGTAGGCATAACACTGATATGATAAGACTAAGGCATAATTATAATTGTTCGAAATATTTCTATTTAGCCATTTACTAAACATACTTAACAATAACAGTTATATGTAACGGAAAAAAACTAAAGAATATAACATAATTATTGTTTCTTAAATCATACCACGTGTGGGAATTCCCATCTTTTGGCATCTCGTCCTCCGACAGCGAATATTACACTAGGGGGAGTGTACGAAAGGTTGTGACACTTGAAATGATGATTCCATGTCTTTTCGATTGTGAAGTACCCAGTTAAACGACAGCCAAATGGTAGCTTCTGGAAATACTCGTAGCATTCTGGAAATTAAAATAAATTGATTGTTGAAACTTAACACATTCTTAATTGTCATATGGTGAGGACTCATCATCAAGGAAAATGAATGGATAGGTAAAGTTATAGTAGATATAAAATTATACTTACTTTCCCAGGCCACAGGCCCCGTTTTGTTGACCATACTGCCATACGCACCAATTGCGAAGCCGCGGTATCTAAAAACAAGAATGATACATTCATTTATAAAGAACCAAATATTTTGTTTTTTTTTTTTAATGTAATATAGGCCTATCAATAGTTCTATAAGTATGCCTAATATCCGTCTCCATTTCAGAATATTAACTAAAAATCGCGGGTTACTCACGAAACACTAAGAAAATCTCTACTAGTTTCTAACCACAGAGGGGTCCTTCCTCTTGAGCAGCGTGGCGGTCGCGGCGATGTCACGCAACCCTCAGTTGGCGGCGCATCGGCGAAGTACAGTTTTTTCACGTGAGTAACCCGCGGTTTTTAGTTAATTTAGTATGTTTCACGATAGGCATTATAATGACACTCAAGAATATGTTTACTCCAAAGGTAAGGTAAGGTTCTTCGACAAATGTGACCGGGCCACTGCCACTAAGCATACTAATCTTTTGAACTGTAGTGATTTACTAACGGTACATTTTCTACGTGGGTCAGCCATGATTTGGCACCATCGAGGACTAGCAACCGGAATGATACTTCAAGCTGTCAACAATGCCTGCTGTATGTTTCTTTCAACGTGTGCTTGAGGTTGCCGGCGGCAATACTCTTACTCGCGCTTGCAACGCACTTGTAAAACTCCTCTAGTGATATTTGGCGGGGCGAGCGTCTATCCGTCTGTTCGTTTACACGTCTTTAAAAAATAACTAAGAAACTTACTTCTCCTGCCCAACATCACAGTCGGTGCAGCAGACTACAGGCTCATTGTTCTTATAGGAACATATTTCAGGAAGTGGTGGGATTTTGTACTTCTGCAGATTGAAGCCAGCGTTACCCTGAAATGAGAGAGGATAACTTAATACTAAATTATGTTGTAAGAACTGAGATGAGACTGTACTTAAGAATTATGCAAACCTGTTTCCGGAATTGGGCTTGCAACTACATAATTATCTATTTTATTGCATTGTTGTCTGTCAAGATTCAAAAGGCTGAGGGACGGCGAGCTACCCTTACTCACCATCCGCAGACCCGTACTTACGGTAGCCGGAGAACATCGCGCGTTCTGAGGTCTCTACTATCGTAAAAGAAAAAAGAATCCCTATAGGTATTTAACTCGAAATATTGAATTCTATAAAATATTATTTTTACAGTTTTTTTAGAGTTATGCCATAGTTATACCACAATCAAGCCGCGACGTCACATAGTGCGTCTGCTGCTCAGATCCGCCGTATGAGCGAGACAAAGAGAGAGAGAGAGAGAGAGAGAGAGAATGAGAGATTCACTATCTTTGACTAAGTTGTGGATGGCGCGTGTGTGCACTTGTTTGATTGTTTGTAGTATTGTTTTAACAGAACTGTGTGTGTATTATTAATTACTTTTATGGAGGAGCAATTGTGGCTTCAACGGTTTTGCATACATTTTGCACTCCACACCATATGTCCTTGTTTATTATATCAATGGTTGAAATGTATTATTTTAATGTACTTACATATAAATAAGTTAATGCCGCCGAATTACATTTAAAGACGTTCACACACACTCCCCTTAATCCTGTGGTGATGCACGGAGCTCCTGAAACATTCATATAATAATATTATTTGTCAATTGAAGGCAAGAGACACTCGTGATCACAGGGGTTGAAAGATGCGTTGACGGCCATTAGGTTCCTTTAACTTGATTTTTATTGACTTTTATTTTGGAAAATAAACATTAGGTTACATTATCTACGTAAACATTATTACTTACCTCTACATAATTTTTTAGTGTTATAGGCTGGCTAACAAGCAGACGGATTGCATTAGTACGAGTTTCATTTACGTATAAAGTATTCGAAACGACTACGGGTTTGGCAATCTGATTGGCCGGCGCCAATGAACCAACCAATCAGAGCGCTGAACGCGTACTCGTTACAATTACTTTAAGCGCAAAACAAAGTTGTACTAAGACCTCTGATCATCAGGTAATCCGTCTGCTTGGCGACAACGCGATAAGCGCCGTCCATGGACACCCGCAGCACCAAAGGAGACAGTCTGGGAGAGCCATGCTTTGACACGAATGGACGGGCTTGACCGGAGCGATACCACGGCCTCACAGAAAACCGACGTGACACAACGCTGGCCTTGTGTTTCGTCGTGTGCCTCCGGTAAGGCCCAATTACCCCACTCCCCAGTCTCCCCAATCCAATCCCTGATTCCCCCTACAATCCTCACATTCCCAATTCCCAAAACGCCGGTAATACACTCGTAACGCCTGAGGTGTTCCAGGTGTCCTTGGGTGACACCAATTGCTTACAATCAGGTGATGCGTCTGCTCGTTTACCGGTTTACCCATAAAAATAATAAAAAGGCTTTTTCCTTAAGATGTTGATACTCGTGTCGCTTCGGAAACTTGTTACAAACAAGTATTTGTTTATATATTGTGTGTAATAGGTATGTACGTGTATGTGTGGCTTCGGCCATATAAAATTTAGACTTACAGCTACAGGTTTTAGTCATAAGGTAAGACGTCGATGGTTTTAGCGTATATTATTCTTTAAAATCTGCCTCGTTGGCCAAACAGTCGCAAGTACGACTGCCAAGCGGGAACAGCTTGCTCCCGCCTGGGTGAGGCGAGGTGTCAAATTTACTGACTAAAAACCACCCCATTCCTACTCCTGTACTTAAGTTAAGTTCTCCGCGGCTCCATATCGGCATCAGCCCTATTGGGCCCCATACGTGTTGTCTGGGACTAACGTCCGATACAATATTGAAAGTGGGTGTTATATACATTACAGTTTTGATTTCCTGACTATTTAGGTCATAAAATTATTTTAGATTGAATTAAAGTTCTGTAATATATTTATACAGATAAATAAAATTGACGTGTCTATTTGTAATATTAAATTAACCGCTTTTTACTACATGCGTATATATATATGTGCATACGATACACATACCAAAATAACATTTCTTACAATTACCTATTGTCTGCCTGCTTGCACTGGCTAATCTCTGGAATGGCGGGACGTGAATTTGACGGGAATTTATTGGTAGTTAGCTGATGCACTAAGGAGTACCATAGGCTCCTTTGTTTTTAAAAATTGTAACAAAAATGAAGTTATTTTCTAAAAGTCAAAGTCAAAGTCAAAGTCAAAGTCAAAGCATTTATTTCAATTAAACCATAGTTTGGTGCTTTTGAAACGTCAACAAATACAAAATAAATAATAGTCTGTCAGTCAGTCCGTCAGTGAAACTAGGTGAAGCTAGGTGCTCATTCCAAAAAGTAGATTCGAATGGAGAAGAACGAGCAAGAAACTCCATTCGTTACTCTTTTTAAAAAAAGTATGTTCTACAATGTCTCTGATACATATTTCAATACTGTACGCATATGTAAGAACAATGCAAAGACACGCTTGACGCATTATACTAATAACTTACAAAAATTAAAAAAAATAAATTAATAAAAATTAACTTAAAGTCCAACCTGGTTACCAAAATTCATACCTATTCTACGCAGACGAAACCACTAGTATAACATACAATTTACATTAAATATTTTAACTCGTCGAGTACCGGTTTTATAGACACAATTAAAGAACAATAGGTCGCGGTCACCGGTGACCGCTTGGTGTTTGACAGTTTAAATGCATCACTAACCTTCATTAAGTCCAAGTTGACAGTTGACACTGAATAAAAAATTAAATAAATAAAATAAAATAATTTCTGCAGCCGCCATCTTTTTCTCGCGTACTGCGGCCGGCGATGAACTCCGTTTATAAAGTTGAACCTGATTTAGACTTTTTTTTCATTAGGACCATACGTAGTTCAGCAAACTAAGGCTGACAACCGGACAAACCCTGCGGTGGCCACTAACAAGAAGTTAAGGCCCCAGGCAGAGCAACTACAGCTAACAGATGATTTAGAGTCCTATGAGCCTATATTTATACACGAGCCGGGACTGCGAGCCGGACTCACCAAGGGAGGTGTGTGGGGAGGGGACGGTACGCGAGCGGAGACTGCTGGTTGGTCGGTGACGGCTCTTGATAGTCAATGAACTAAGTAAACGATTAAGGGCCGATTTTTCCAACGGCAGGTAAATTTTCACTTGGGATAACTTTAGAATTTTTCCACACTAAAAACTGTTACATGTCAATTCTATTCTACCGTTAGATGAAATTGACGTTTGACATTAGTTAACATAATTGAAAAATCATCCCTAAAAATTTGATTTAATGTATTCGGCTTACAGTAGTAGTACGTACTGTTTGACAAGGAACTCGACTAGTTTCAAGCCATGCCAGAGGCTCTTATTCATGAACAGCATTCCGCGACCCGTGACGTGGCGTCTGTCACGCTGCTACTCATCAAACAGTTACGTGAGTAAGCCGAAAACATAATAATTAATTTAGTGTCTCACAAAACCTAAGAATTTGGTCAGACACAACTATAAACGACGGTAGCAAAGATTTAAGGATTGACCTAACGACTGCTTTAAATATATCTAGATTGTTATCTGATAATAATTATTTATTTATTTATAGATAGATAGATATATGGATAGATAGGTAGGTAGGACTAGGTAGGAGGGTAAATAGATAGATTTTTTAAGACTTTAATTTATGAAAAACCTTTACTATATAATCAGATGCATATGTGGTAGTGTTTGAGTCGCACCGTGCTCGCGTACCCTGCACTGTTGGTGTTTAAGCGCGTTCACCTCGGATCCTACGCGCTAACTGGATGTCCTTGGGCATGCTAATGGTGACACGTTTGGCGTGGATGGCGCACAGGTTGGTGTCTTCGAACTCCCTTGAGGTACCCAAACTTATTTCGTCTAAACCTGGGTACTCACTTAGCAGTGTAGCACGTTACGTATCAGGTACGGTATCAAGTGAGTACGTAGGCACGAGCTCGCTGCGAGTCGCTCGCGCAGTCGCGCGTGGAACGTTGTAAGCTCGCAGTGACCCGCCGAGTGACGATTTCACTGCGAACACCTACGAACCGATACGACCTTCAAACCTTCAAGAAAAGAGCGTATTCCATTTTAAAAGGCCGGCAACGCACCTGTGACTCCTCTGGTGTTGCAGGTGTCCATGGGCGGCGCTGATTGCTTACCATCAGGTGATCCGTCTGCTCGTTTGCCTCCTATTCCATAATAAAAGAACACAAAGGCGGCTCGTAGTGTGCTCGTGGACGACGTCACGACCGCTTGTATAATTGAAACGAACTTTACGTATTCAATTAATTATTATGGAGTGGACTGAAGAAAAAGTATTCAATGTAATTCGACGTGACGTCGTTGCGAGCACTGCGGATCTGGGAGCTCGTAGCTAGATACGAGAACTGTAAACGAGCCGTACCCACTTGCAGGTTGATACCGTATCTGATACGTTACGCGTTGCACTGCTAAGTGAGTACCCAGCTTAACATACTTTATTTTCCGTGTAGCGAGATTATTTATGTAGGTATTTGGGATATACTTTTAGAATTAGATTAATAATCCCGCTTTCAATAAATATTCAACTTGGTCTCAGCAAATGTGTACTAAATACATTTATATTAACAATCATCAAAATGACTTCTCTCGACTTGGGTAAGGTTGTGAAAGTGTCAGACTCTTACTGGCTCTGCTCCTACTCATGCTTCGAGCCAGAGCCCTGGTAACCCACAAGGTGGTCGGAGTGTCTCCTGCGGTGGTTGGGTCGTGAGAAGGAACTTTACCTTACGCGTTCCGTCTCCTCCTTAGTTAGCATGACCTGAAGCAGAGCCGGGTGTGAGAGGTCAGTGTTGCAGATCACTTCCCTGAAGACACTGTGGTGCTGAACCTATACAGGACACACCGTCACCGTATGCTCCACCGTCTTCTCCTTCTCCGGGTGGTTCTCGCAGTGGTGACATACGGTTGTTTCCATCGCCGAACCCGAAACAAGTACATACCTCCTAAAACTTCCATGTCAGGTAAGCACTTACGTCAGGCGGTAGATGACGACCTTGACGTCTTTCAGGCCACTCCTCAAAGAAAGGATTTACCGCTGAGTTAACAGCGAGCCCAGTCCTCGGTTGCGACCGTCATTGCTTCCATTCCGCCATTAAATCGCGCCGGAGCTTATTCAACCATGCACTGACCTACGCCCTGGCGACGTGCTTTAGCATACAAACTGTAGACGCTTGCGCGAACCGTCGACCTGCAGATCTCATGGCGTAATCCAGCAAGGAGGTTCGCTGCCTCCTAGGAGATTACGCGATACTCACGGATCATCTGTATGTAGGTACATAACTCTTTGGGACCATAACCGTAACCGGTATGCGGGAGAACAGCTTACCGCTGGTCTAGAAGCAGCTTCACTAGCCTGATTTGCAACCCGGAAAGGAGATAAAATAGTTTTAATCACTGAAACCTCACGAGACGGGCATTGTACGGGTTAAACCACACGGTTAAGCTCACTAATGAATTCATTTCACAATAAATAAAACCTAGGTACTAAATCGATTCTGACGACATTTGCTACCGTAGAATATACCTTGGTATAAACTAATTTAAATGCCCAAATTTACCCAGCAGTCATTGTTCTATGAGGACGAAGTCGCGGGCAACCACTAGTGAGCAATAAAATTTATTATGATACCTATCCAATTTGGATATTTTAGTGTCATAAAATAGAAGGACCTAAATCACTACTTAGCAATATAATATCACTATTGAATATAATTCTACTCTGTAAAATAATTCGGAAGTTTTGAGACTTTTTTAGGGGGAAAAATCATCGAATGCCATCTCCCGCTGAAGTGAGTCGGGAGGGAGTGTCAGACTCTCACTGATTAAAAACCACTCCGTTCCTACCCCTGCACTTCGAGCCGAAGCACCGGTAACCTTTTCGTTCTCCGCGGCTCCGTATCGGCATCAGCGCTATTGGGCCCCATCCGTGATGGTCTGATCTGGTCTTGAGGCGCACACGGAACGCGACGTGCCGTACGCTCAGGTTTGGTTCTGGTCGGGCGGCGAGCTTCCCATGCTCGCCGTCCGCAGGCCCGTGGAGTTTTTGAGTATGGAATCGAAATTCACTAACATAATATTACGGATGATGACTCATAGAAATAAAATACACTGAAGTAGAAATCATACATATGATTTTATTCATACCAATTAGTAATCTTAGAGATGTAATTCTAGCTTATCAACTATATTAAAAATCACTGGGCTCATCGTTAATAAATAACTTGTTATAAAATAGCTAATAACATTGGACAAACACGTTCAATTCCATTGCATCCATTTGTCCCACCATTGGTTTTGTTTTTGCTTGCGTTTCTCCACTTCCTCAGGCCACACGATGCCCTCGATCCAGGGCACATAGTATGAGACCCTGGTGTACATGCCAGCTGAGCCGAGGATGCCGCAGTCCTTGCCATATGAAGTCACACCAATTACTGTCTGGTGGCATCCTTCACTACCATATTGAAGAGGTCCTCCGCTATCACCCTGTTGATAAACATTTAAGTTTAAGTAACGAAACAAATATTAGCCGAAATCACTTCTGAATTTCGATTTGTCAATTACGTTTTTTGGGCTGACTTAGGTGATAAAATATTTTTTACCCGATAACATATTTCCATGGGATAAAACAGGAATCATATTATACGTAAACGACAACAGCGGGCAACAGCTAGTAAAAAATAAATATAAACAATCTTCACTTACTTCACAAGTATCTATGACTTCGATACGGGATCCGTAACACATTTGTTTTGAATGGTCGTAACCGTTGGTTAAATGCCTGTGTGGTTTGTATATTGTCGAACATTCAGATCTCTGGAATTCCTCCAAATTGACCTGAAAATAGATATATTGTACATTAAAAAATAATCAACAGCCTGTGAGAGTTCACTGTTGCATGGGCAATAGTCTCGTCTACGATAAAGGGGTTTGCCGTAATCACAACGCTTGGTAGATGGGTTGGAGTATGCAGCTTATCAGAAGCGGTCCTGGTCTCTGTTAATTAAGTAGGTAGACTCTTAGTCTGCTCTTACAACACCGAAGAATAAGGGGGTACAAACGAATTCTATAATACTATAATACATTTCTCTCAATGTATACGTTTAAGGTCTTCATTTACACTTACCACTTGTAGGGTATCTGCCAATGCCTGTCTGTGTCCTAAACGCCCCCAGCCTGAGGCATCAGCAAATCTTACAGGATCACGTCCTGTATACAAACATGCTGGCAACAAGTCCTGTCCAAAAGCTATCCTGAAATTATAGTTTCAATTGTAGTATTATCATACCGTAAAAATAGTTATACAAAAGTATAGTTTAAAAATGATACTTTTTTTAGTTCTTTATTTAATGTCTCACGCCTAAACATTTATGACGAAAAATAATAAGGCCTAAAACAGAACCTTGTGGAACACCAAGCTTAAGGCAACGATAAAGTAGTCGGTTTATAACTTACTCGTTTTCCGTCTCCAAGAGTGCTATGTCATGGTACTTGGAAGGTGGTTTGTACTCAGGATGATTGATGATTCTCTTTATTTTGTATATCTTCCAGTTTTCCTTGGGGTCCGTCCGTCTCAAAAGCCCAAGCGCGGCGTACTGAATGCTGCCTCTAGAAATATTTCGGAATATTTTAGTAATTTTGTTTAATGTACATAATACACGAAAGACAGTATAGCTATAAACTTACAGCAAGCGAGTAGATGAGCAGTGTGCAGCAGTGAGTATAAATCTCTCGCTGATGACAGATCCTCCACACAGCCACTCGGCAGAGTCCACGTCCTCTCCATAACCGAGCAAGGCCTGGAAATCGAAATCCATTTTATTAATCACTTACACCATTTTCTTTATGTTGCAATTACGAAGGATGTCGTCAGTTTTGTTTTGTAGGATTATTATAATTGTTCTAAAGAATTATTATAAAGAAGATAATAGCATATTGTTTCTTATATCATACCACGTGTGGGAACTCCCATCTTTTGGCATCTCGTCCTCCGACAGCGAATCCAAAACCACCAGGAGTGAACGTATGGTTGTGACACTTGAGATGATGAAGCCAAGTCTTTTCGATTGTGAAGTACCCAGGAAAACGACAGCTAAACGGAAGCTTATGGAAATACTCGTAGCATTCTGGAAATTAAAATAACACAATTATCTGCTTATCATTAGGGGAAATGGATGGAAAGGTAAAATTATATTAGATGTAGAATGAAACCTACTTTCCCAGGCCAAGGAATCCCTTTTCTTGACCATAAATCCATTCGCACCAATGATAAAGTTGCGGTACCTAGAAACATAGATACATTTATTTATTAAGGATAAAATATAATTTGTATTGTTTAACACTATAAAAAGTTCTATAGGTATGTCGAATGTCTGTCTCCACTCCAAAACACGTTTACTCCAACGGGCATCGGTTCTCTAACAAACGTGGCACTGCCACTTCAGTTTGCTAATCATTTTTTGTGTATAGTTATTTACTAATGCCATGATTCGTCGCTAATGTATCGACTAGACTGAAGTGATAAAGACTTCAAACACAACTGATGTGAAACAATGCTTGCGGTACGTTTAGATGTGTGCTTGAGGTTGTCGGAGGCAATATTCTACCTCGATGCCAAAAGGCCGGCAACGCACTTGGAAAACTCCTCTGGTGGTACAAGGCGGGGCGAGCGTCTATCCGTCTGTTCGTTTAACGACTTCTTGTACAAAAGAAATAAGAAACTTACTTCTCCTGCCCAACATCACAGTCGGTGCAGCAGACTACAGGCTCATTGTCCTTATAGGAACATATTTCAGGAAGTGGTGGGATATTGTACTGCTGCAAATCGAAACCAGCGTTACCCTGAAATGAGAGAGGATAACTTAATACTAAATTATGTTGTAAGAACTGAGATGAGACTGGACTTAAGAGTTATGCAAACCTGTTTCCGGAATCGGGCTTGTAACTACATAATTATCTATTTTATTGAATTGTGGTCTGTCAAGATTCAAAAGGCTAACAAAGAACGCATCGTCAAAGTCAAATGTTTATGATGCGTTCTATAAACTGGAAATATGTAAAACGTTACGTAACATTTTAACATTTTAGGATTCTCTAGTCTCTAGTACCTACTATAAAAGAAAAAATGAATTCATATACGAAGCCCTAAATATTGGATCGCATGATTTTGTTATAAGTTTAGACTATTGTACAACACCTCTCTATCTAAATACGACAGTTACACAATGAAGATCATGATGATGATAATGATGATGGATAAATGGATTCACTTGATTCGGTTGAAACGTATTGTAAAGTACTTACATATAAATAAGTTAATGCTGCCGAATTACATTTAAAGACGTTCACACACACTCCCTTTAATCCTGTGGTGATGCACGGAGCTCCTGAAACATTTGTTATTTAAATAAAAGTTTCTCAGTTTGATCTGTGTGTATGTTTGTCTTTTCAGAATAGTGTTTTACTAATTACACGTAGGATCAGGTTATAGCACCAGTAAGGGCTCGTACACAAAACTGAGAGCTGCGAGCAAAAATGTGCGTGCCCCCTCTACGCATCGCAAGAACTTAAGAATTGATTCGTATCGCACATCGAAATCTCATCTTCCCAAAATCTTTTTTGGTTTCTTTTTCCTGTATTTCCTAAACAACAGCAGAAGTGCACACTTCCTTTTACGATCCATGTCACGACCTAGTTTTCTATTTAAAATACGTTTAGTACGGTTGACGGTCGTCGAAGGAATGGTCACCCTGGGAGACTCTTTGTCGCACGAAATCACGTCGCAGCAATTCGCATCGTAATTGTTTGCGTTGCGAATTGGCATCGCATTGCATCGCAGTTTTGTGAACGGGCCCTAAAAGCAGTCTATTGAAAATTATTCATATTTATTTGGGAGGTTAAAACATAGCCTTAAAGTAGGCTACATAATATGAACATAATTATTTTTAACTAGTTACTACCGCGCGGTGTGACCCGCTCTGCTCGATGCCTATTGCTCGTAGCGTGATGTTTTATAGCCTACAGCCTTCCTTGATAAATGGACTATCCAACACAAATATAATGTTTCAAATAGGACCCTAATGGTCCTATTTGTTCCTAGTAATTGGTTTCCTGAGATTAGCGCGCTCAAACAAACAATCTCGTCAGCTTTATATAAAAGTAAGTATAAGTTATTTGACTTTAGATTTCATTACATTTCAATTATATACTTAGACCGGACATGGAAGTTTCGGGAGGTACCTGTGTCTGATGGGGCGGGAGGAAACGCCCGGGTGTCATCACTGCGAGGACCGCCCTGAGGACACGGTGGAACACACTGTAGCGGAATGCCCTGCGTGGGCTGAGCACCGCCGTGCCCTCAGGGAAGTGATCGGCGATGGCCACCTCTCGCGTCCGGGCCTAGTGCGGGTCATGATGCAGAGCGAGTGGGACTGGGATGCCGTCTCCTCCTTTTGCGAAGCAGTCATGCTAGCTAAGGAGGAGGCGGGACGCGTGAGGCAGCGAAGCGCTGCCTCCTCGCAACCCAGCCATCGCGAAGGACTCACCGGGCGTCGGGGATCGCGAGACGATCTCCGGCCGCCGTAAGCGCGGGCCTGCGGACGGCGAGCATGGGTGGCTCCCCGTCCGACCAGAAACAGACCCGAGCGTACGGCGCGTCGCGTTCCGCGCGCGCCTCAAAATGCCATCAGACCACCACAGATGGGGCCCAATAGGGCCGATGCCGATTCGGAGTCGCGGAGAACCTAACGGGTAACCGGGGCTCCGGCTCGACGTGCAGGAGAAGGAACGGGGTGGTTTTTAGTCAGTAAGAGTCTTACACTCTCTTCCGCCTCACCCAGGCGGGAGCAGTCATTAGATGATTTTCCCCCCTTAAAAAAAAAATATATATACTTAGAATAAAGCGTAAAGTACAATTGTCATTCATATCTAAGTATGACTTAAACTACCTACGTGCCTAGTTTCTTGATCGCCATGAAAATTCAACCTTTTTGTAAGACAAGTTTACATCAAGCCCTTGTCCCGGGTCAATTACAGATAATGGTCATTTACACAATATAACATAACGTCACGTTTATCCCCGAAGGCGTTGGCAGAGGTGCACATTACGGCACTTAAAGCCACTGTACAATGTAACACCCACTTTTCACTATTTATGTTATGAGTCTCATGTAATAACATGCCTTTTGCCATATACCGGGCACAATTCTAGACTCCGAGAAACTACTAAGATTTTTTTAAATAAACCCTTAATACTTTGCCCGGCTCGGGAATCGAACCCGAGACCCCTTGCCCGACACTCGCACTTGCGACCACTCGGCCAACGAGGCCGTCATTAACATGAAATGTTAATTTACATTCCATATTAATTTCACAACCAAACATAGACGTCAAAGCATAAGCGTTAGTAAAATTGCTTTGAAACTGGTTAATATAATGAATATTACATGACGTCATCAACTGAGCCATAATAGGTACGTCCATTGCTGAACATAGTGAATCGGTGAATCCCCCAGTGACTTCCAGATAGGCCGGTTAGAAACCACCTTCGTCCAGCTACTTACGACCCTCACCATAAAAAATGAAATAAGCGTTCAGCACTCTGACTGCTTACTTCATTTTTTATGGGATAAGCCGGTAAACGAGCTGACGGATCACCGGATGATAAGCAATCGGCGTCGCCCATGGACACCTGAAAAACTAGAGACGTTACAAGTGCGTTACCGGCCTTTTAGGGATTAAGAATTTAAGGTTTGTTGGGGATTCAGGGATTGGGGAGATTGAGCAAGAGGGGTAATTGGGCCTCCGGTAACCTGACTCACACAATGAAACACAACGCAAGCGTTGCTTGACCTCGGTTTTCTGAGGTTTTTTTTTTAAGGGGGGAAAAATCATCGAATCACTTCTCCCGCCTAGGTGATGCGGGAGGGAGTATCAGACTCTTACTGACTAAAAACCACCCCGTTCCTACTCCTGCACTTCGAGCCGGAGCCCCGGTAACCTGTAAGGTTCTCCGCGATTCCGTATCGGCATCAGGCGCGCGCGGAACGCGACGCGCCGTATGCTCGGGTCTGGTTCTGGTCGAGCGGCGAGCTGTCCGCAGGCCCGCGCTTACGGTGATCGGAGATCGTCCCGCGATCCCCGGAGTGTCCTTCGCGACGGTTGGGTTGTGAGGAGGCAGCGCTTGGCTGTCTCATGCGCCCCGCCTCCTCCATAGCTACCATGACTGCTTCGCAAAAGGAGGAGACGGCATCCCAGTCCCCCTCGCCCCGCATCATAACCCGCACAAGAGCCGGACGCGAGAGGTCACCGTCGCCGATCAGATCCCTGAGGGCACGGCGGTACTCAGCCCACGCAGGGCATTCCCCAACTGTGTGTTCCACCGTGTCGTCAGGGCGATCCTCGCTGTGATGACACCCGGGCGTTTCTATGAGGCTGTGATATTTTCTACAATGTAACATTCTCGAGTTAAATTCCAGGACGGTTTGGGCGTGATGTGCATGTGGAATTGTATGTTTGTAAACGCACTCACAACACAGGAGGAAATCTTAATACCTATGGGGCAACATAAAAAAAATCAAGTTCAAAAAACTTCGAGTCATTGCTCTATCCACTGAGATATGCGGTATGAGTTGATAATAACGTTTTTTGACTCAGAGGTCATTGCCAACCACTTATGGTTTCAAAATGGTGACCTTTTTAAGTCAATCGAACTTAATGAACATTACAAGACGAGTTTCAAGTTTTTATTTTGATTTACGACATACAGACGGACATAAATAACAATAGCTTTTCCTTAACTTGACTTTAGAATCTAATAGCTTTCCACAGTACCTTCTCAACCTTTCCTTAAAAATCTTTTCTATCCAATGGTGAAAGCCACATAAATATGTGTTTAGTTGTTTTTGAGTAAAACACCAACAGACAAACGAAGCGGGGCTTTTTTTAGATCACTTTAATGCATCTATAGTGTGTACAGGATGGTCTACAATTTTTGTAATAATTATGCAGTTTATGTACCTACCTCATAATTCCATTTAAATAATTTTACTTGTTGTAAGATTCTTAGCTATTATTTCTATACATATGAACCGACTCAGCGATCAAGTGTAACTGCTAAGTAAGCAGTGTTGGGTTCAATTCTGTTCAAAATATGTTTGAGGATGTTTGAGGTCTGTTTATGAAATTCTATATAAACACATTGAGTCTGTAATTTCGCCCGGTGTATGGCAAGACGTACCTGTTGCAAAATTTTTCTAGCAATTATCTCTACTTTTCTAGCAATTATCTCTACTTTTCTAGCAATTATCTCTATGTACTTTTCTAGCAATTATCTCTACTTTTCTAGCAATTATCTCTACTTTTCTTCTGGGTACCTGAAGCCTTAGTACAAGGTTTATTTACGTTTAAAGTATTCGAAACGAGTACGCGTTCGGCAATCTGATTGGTTGGTTCATTTTAGCCGGCCAATCACAGCGCCTCTGATATAAATGCGAAAGTGAATTTGTGTGTGTGTTCACGTCAAACGGCTGAAGGGATCGTGAAAATATTTGTAGCAGAGGTAGATTATGATAAGACCTATGTCGTGGTACCAGAGGTTTAATTAAGACGCCCGGTTCTCACACATGAGGCGGGTTCAAAATCTACCAACGGCAAGTACCAATGTGACTTTTTCCGAGTTATATGGACTTTCTAAGATTATTTAAGACACCACTGACAAACGGTAAGGGAAAACATCGCCAGGAAACCTGGGCTTATAATTTCTAATTATAAGTTTGTAATCGCCAACCCGCATTGAGCAAGCGTGGTGATTAATGCTCAAACCTTCTCCGTGTGAGAAGAGGCTTTGCTCAGAAGGGGGTATTTATAGGCTGTTGATGATTGATGATGTAACACCTATGGTACTTTTCTCACACGGGAACACGGGCAAAGTCGCTGGCAGAAGCATAAGTATATTATTACATAACTTTCAAGATCTCAGTGACGAAACATACAATAAAAAGCCCCTAAAGGTTTTCTTGAGGAAATGTCATAGTACCTCTATAATTATTTTATGTGTTTTTGCAACAAGTTGATGATTGGACATAAAACGTCACGACTTTTAGTTCTTTAGAGGTTAAGCAGATGTCAATCTTAAGTCCACTTTTCAAAAGTTTTGATAAAATGCCACGTAACAGGGGGTGAGCCAAAATAGGTGATAATGGTATCAAATCTACAAATCGAATACATATTCTATTTAGACGTTATGCATCTCAGTATCTTTTTAAGGGGGGAAAATCCTCTCCCGCCTGTGTGAGGCGGGAAGGAGTGTCAGACTCGTACTGATTAAAAACCACCCCGTTCCTACCCCTGCACTTCGAGCCGGAGCCCCGGCAACCCTTTAAGTCCTCCGCGGCTCCGTATCGGCATCAGCCCTATTGGGCCCTATCCGTGGTGGTCTGATGGCTCTTTGAGGCGCACGCGACGCACCGTACGATCGGGTTCGGGTCTCTTTCTGGTCGGGCGGCGAGCTACCCATGCTCGCCGTCCGCAGGCCCGTGCTTACGGTGACCGGAGATCATCATTTTAGTGACTGTGTGTGGTTAATATAAATGAACTAGCTTTAGCCCGCGGCTTCGAGTGCGTTCCCATGGTAAAAAGTACCCTATGTAGTAAAATCATTTATTCGGGAATTAGCACACAAAACAAAGATTATAAAAAAAAAATACATAACATAACATAACATAACATCACGCCTTTTTATCCTCGAAGGGGTAGGCAGAGTTGTACATTACGGCACTGAATGCCACTGTACAATGTAACACCCACTTTTCACTATTTATGTTATGAGTCCCATGTAATAGGGGGTGAGCCTATTATCATATACCGGGCACAATGCCAGTCTCCGTGCTACTACTGAAATTTTTGAGAAAGTCCCAGTAATATTTTGCCCGACCCGGGAATCGGACCCGAGGCCCCTTGCCCGGCAGTCGCACTTGCGACCACTCGGCCAACGAGGCAGTCAGGCAGGCAAATACATAATTATACTTACATAAACAAAATACTAATCTAACTCAGTTCAAATTTCATCCTGATCCCTTCAGTCGTGTTGACATGATTGTTTAACAGTCATACTCACAAACACACAAACATTCGCATTTATTAAAGTAGGACTTAAGACAACGAGTTTGATTTTCCTACCAGTACATTGCAAAACATTTTAATATTATGTCTATCTAATTGAACGTGTGTGTGAAGTCCGAAAAAAATTATACTTGTTTTAATATTACGCCATTATCCTCCATTATCTATTTAAGTACTTAAACAAATAAAACGGTTAGCGAATTACCTACTTATATTACCGAGAACTAAAATTAATACCTTATTACAAACCAGGTATTCGTTTACATAAGTGAATATGTACATAATACCTAGCAATAACTATCATTTTGCTTGGCTTTGGTCATTTGGTGTTAAGACGTATTGTGTGTTTCTATTAAGTCTATGTTAAACTCTGAAAACACAGCTTGTATTTATGAAAGAATTTTTCAAATAGGTCCTGTATTTTTCAAGTTTGTGTAATGCAAACAAGCAAACAATAATAAACTTATTCATGTTTATACTATTCGTACAGACTAGTTTTTTTACTTGAATAACTTGTTTTGTTTTTCAAAAAACCACATAACATAACATCACGCCTTTTTATCTCCGAAGGGGTAGGCAGAGGTGCACATTACGGTACTTAAGAGGTACAATGTAACATCCACTTTTCACTATTTATGTTATGAGTCCCATGTTATAGGGGGTGTACCTATTGCCATAATACTGGACACAATTCCAGACTCCGTGCTACTAGTGAGATTTTTTTAAAAACCTAGTTATATTTTGCCCGCCCTGGGAATCGAACCCTAGACCCTTGCCCGGCAGGCGCACTTGCGACCACTCCGCCAAAGAGGTAGCCTAGTTTCCAAAAAATGAAAATATCTATATTTTTGTAAACTACAAATTAAATCTATTTCTATAAAACCAAGGTGACCTTAATAAAAGTAGGTATATAGGCAAGAATCTAGTCAGCGACAATATCATGTTTGGTTTCCTAACTTTTTTAGGTAATAAAATAGAATTAAATATAATTAAGTATCTACACAGTAATACAGTAAACGAACTTACAAAAAACCACACGAAGAACATAACTTTATGACGATTTGTTAGCAAAACCATAATTTTAAACGTTTCATATAACATACAATCTACTTAATTAATGTTTTAAATGCATCACTCACCTTCATCAAGTCCAAGTTGACAGTTGACACAGATTAAAAAATTAAATAAAAAAAATATAAATACTTTTGTAGCCGCCATCTTTTTCCCGCGTTCGGCGGCCAGCGACGAACTCCGCTTAGTTGAAACTGACTTAATAACAACGTAAGGTGAATATTTATTAACAAATCGGAACATATAAAATATTATTATAGTTGTGTAGGTATTTATTGTGTTTGCATTCGTATAAAACGTATCAAGAAGTTCATTAGCCGCGAACATGTATTTACATAATGTACCTAATCAATATTTTATGAAAAACCTGATTTGGCTCGAAAATAGGCGGACCTTAGGGTGCCCGGTGATATTTATCTCCTAATGTGATTCATATCATTGAATTCAGGTTTTTCGAGATTGACCCTTCGCTTATGGACAATTTATTTGTTAAAAAACTCATGTTTTTTCGAAATTGTCATAAAGATACAATAATAAAGAATGTAGGAACAAAACTCGTTTTGGTATTAAGTTTCTACATACTGTTATAAGTTCTTTTGATACATATGTAGGTATGTTACCTTACACACAAATCTGTACCCGCGGAAGACTTAACGGGTTACCGGGGCTCCGACTCGAAGAGCAGGAGTAGGAACGGGGTGGTTTTTATTCAGTAAGAGTCTGACACTCCCACCCGCCTCACCACCAAAGGCGGGAGCAGTCATTGATTAATTTTCCCCCTTAAAAATAGAAGGTACATCCTACAACCCAAATAACTTAGTCGATTAGATTGTTAAAAACGATAGAAGTAGGTATCCAGTTACCTAGGAATTTTGCCCATTCAACATTTTTACGTACCTACTTTGAATTTACATTCTTATGAGTGTTTTTGTTTACTTGCATATTATGCACATAAATTATGTATTACTATTAAGTACTAACTGTTGCTCGCGACTTTTTCCGCATAGGATATGAATTTTATAACATAACTTTTATTTGTATCAATATTCAAAAATAAAATTCCTTAATACATCAGCGTCATCAGCTACCTGCAAATAAGTTTCAAAATCGGTCTAGCCATTCCAGAGATTAGCCAGTGGAAATGTTATTGCGGATGTATCGTTTGTATATTCATATTCATTTAGTAAAAAGCCGTTATTTTAATATTACAAACAGACATTCCAATTTTATTATCTATATAGATGTGACTGCCTCGTTGGCCGAGTGCTCGTAAGTGCGACTGCGGGGCAAGGGATCTCGGGTTCGATTCCCGGGTCGGGCAAAGTATTACTGGGTTTTAAAATATTCTCAGTAGTAGCACGGAGTCTGGAATTGTACCCGGTATATGGCAATAGGCTCAACCCCTATTAAATGGGACTCATAACAAAAATAGTGAAAAGTGGGTGTTACATTGTACAGTGCCATAATGTACACCTCTGCCTACCCCTTCGGGGGTAAAAGGCGTGACGTTATGTTATAGATGTATAGATTACAAATCCCAAGACATTTCTGAAAGGGTAAGATGAGCGGGAATAAATTGCGTGCTTTTAAAACCGCTGTATTATTGTAGATAACACTGTCATTAACTTGTAAGGATCTGGAGTTATAAAGTTGTTTGAAATGAAACCGTATCATAATGGTATTAAGATGTAATATTCAACCATCTGTCAAACCAAAGATCGTCCTGTTTCCTACGTTCTTCTGTTTCTTCAGGCCAGACGATGCCCTCGATCCAGGGTACGTAGTATGAGACCCTGGTGTACATGCCAGGCGAACCGAGGATGCCGCAGTCTTTGCCGAATGACGTTACGCCGACCACTGTGTACTGACATTTGAACTGATCCGTCTGGAGGGGACCACCGCTGTCACCCTGGAGGATATTAGATTAATATTAGATAAAATAGTACGTTGTCCAACGGATCACCATCGCAACGCGTCGAGACGCCTTCATTTCGCCATTCCGCGCAAGCTGCTAATGAATATGAGTCCTGATGTGACTCGAAACTAATAGAGCTTTCCTCGTCATTTCAATTCAATTTAACAAAGGATTAAAGAAAGTTCACAAATATAACTTGATAAATATAATTTTTAAATTGAATGCCTTGTCATGAAGCTCATCTAGTAATATTTTAAATTGAACTTCACCAAAGCGGATATGTCCAAAATTGAACCGAGAAATCTACCATTTGCCTAGCCGCCCACAACATCTTAGCTTATGATACAGATAGGTAATTAATAAATATCATATTTGGGCGAATTTCTCTAGTAAATGGGGAGAGGAGATGTACGAATAAGAGGAATAACGATACTTTATTGATTGGATGTTATCTCTGCTTCTATTGTTTCTGCTTTGGTGGACTCCAACCTTTTGTTTTTAAGGGGGGAAATCATCGTATGACTGCTCCCGCCTGGGTGAGGCGGGAGGGAGTGTCAGACTCTAACTGATTAAAAACCACCCCGTTCCTACTCCTGCACTTGGAACCGGAGCCCAGGTAACCCGTTAGGTTCTCCGCGACTCCGTATCGGCATCAGCCCTATTGGGCCCCATCCGTGGTGGTCTGATGGCTCTTTGAGGCGCGCGCGGTACGCAAAGCGCCTTACGCTCGGGCCTGGTTCTGGTCGGGCGGCAAGCCACCCATGCTCGCCGTCCGCCGACCCGCGCTTACGGTGGCCGGAAATCGTCTCACAATCCCCGACGCCCGGAGTGTCCTTCGCGACTCCAACCTTAAGATGATTATTATACCTGGCTGCAAGTACAACATAGGAGATTGTGTTTACCTCGCAAGTATCAATTATCTCTCGATGGTTCCCGTAACACATCTGTGTTTCATGATCGTATCCATGCTTCAGATGTCTGTGTGGTGGGAAGAGTGTTGCACATTCTGTTTCTTCAAACTGCTGGAGATTTACCTATAATGTGAAGTCAAAAATTCTTTTCAAATATCATCATGGAATAGTCATTGTCGTGGTGGTTCGAAACATACTAACGGCAAGTACCAATGTGACTTTATCCAACTAATTTGTACTTTCTAAGATGATTTAGACAACACTCACAAACAGTGAAGTGAAACATCGTGAGGAAACTGGGGCTTATAATTTATAATTATAAGTTTGAAATCGCCAACCCGCATTGAGTAAGAGTGGCGATTAATGCTCAAACCTTCTCAATATAAGTCAATATAAGAAAAGGCCTTTGGTTAGCAGTGACTACTTATAGGCTGATGATCAATACCATTATGGAACACATTGTGAAAAAATATAGGTGTGTCAAACTAGCGAACAAATTGTATTGATGTTCTTCATTTATTTATTCCTAATTTTCATCTATTATACGTTAATATAGGTACTACATCTTTGACTTGAGTTATGTGGGAACAGAAATTCTGGTCTTCTTAATGATACGATACGACTTACGAAGGTTAGTTACTTACTACTTGCAAAGTATCAGCTAAACCCATCTTATGACCCAAACGGCCCCAACCAGAAGCTTCAGCCCTACGTGGGCTGTTTTTTCGTATATCCAAACAAGCTGGTAGGAGATTTTTAGCAAACTTTATCCTGGAATATCAGTCATTATATTACATTTTGCTACATAACGATTCAATTTCGTTTTACAGAATGGACCCAATATGGTTCCCTGAGGAACACCTATAATTCAATGGTATTGAGTTGAGGTACTGCTATCAGTTTTATAGTTAGACACAGATTGTTAGGATTGAAATATTATCATTTTATCTAATTCATTACGATAATACGTTATAATGAAATTGAAGTGACAATATCTCGCATCAATTGTTACAAACGCTTTTACAGCATAAGAATACATTTATAAAAAAGCTCAAATACTTACTCAGTTTCTGTCTCCAAAAGTGCGATATCATGGTATTTGGAAGGAGGCTTGTATTCAGGATGGGGAATAATTCTTTTAATGTTATGTATGTTCCATAATTCCTTCGGATCAGTGCGTTTTAATAGTCCAAGTGCAGCATATGAGACGTTGCCCCTTGAATTTATAAACAACAAAAAAATCAAAGTAATGAAACGACCAATGTAACAAGTACACCCAATATAATGTAAAATAAAACTTACAAAGCTCTGGTAGATGTGCAATGTGCAGCAGTGAGTATGAATCTTTCGCTGATCACAGTTCCTCCGCAAAGCCATTTCGCTGATTCCTCGTCATCCCCATAACCAAGTAAAGCCTAAAATTATGAACAGTAATTAAAAGATTAAATATATATATATAAAATTCAAAGGTGATTGACTGACTGACTGACTGACTGACTGACATAGTGATCTATCAACGCACAGCCCAAACCGCTGCACAGATTGGGCTAAAATTTGGCATATAGATAAATGTTATGACGTAGGCATCCGCTAAGAAAGGATTTTGATAAGTTCCACCCCTAAGGGGATAAAATAGGGAATGAGAGTTTGTATAAATCTTCTTAGCCATTGAATTAAGAATCTTTATCACAGATGTCCCACGGGAACGGGAACTATGCGTCAATGCCCCAGGACTCTCTAATTCTTAACCACTGAACTTATTTTAGAGAGATTCGGTACAACAATAGTCGATAGAATAGTTTTTATTACTCAAACCTTACGTGATCGGGCACTGTACTGGTAAGATCCCTGCGGGATTATTTATTTATTGAAACTACGATAAATCATTTCAAAATAGGTAAATCTTACTTGGGCACTGAATTGATTCTGATTAATTCTCTCAGAAGTCATTAATCTACGCGGACGAATTCGCGGGCAACAGCTAGTTTGTGCATAATTCCCACTATGAAATCACGAGAAGCCGTTGGATACAGATAGCTTCCAGTCTGCTACTATACGGTTTGAATTCATTTATTTCTAAAAGATTACAAATCACTTGTACAGAAATAAATACTTAGAATAATTTTACATTTTTAAAAATATCTATAGAAGTCATTATGTTTAGCAATGGTAGTCGTGCGGTTGATATGGTGATGTAATCTTATCAATTTGTATAGTTTTTATATGACTCACCATATGAGGAAATTCCCATCTCTGTGCACTTCTTCCCCCAACAACTAAAGCTATCTTTATCGTGTAATCATGACATTTTTTATCTTCTTTCCAGATCTTTTTCACCTCAAAATTTCCTTGGCCCCGGCATGGGTACGGCAGACGCTGGAAATAATCTAGACATTCTAAAAAGAAAGAAATATTGTGCAGTAGAAAAATGTCATGATTAATCTTGCACTGTGGCTGCAGTCAAATATCCCAACCATCAACTGTACAGTTGAATATATGTA